AAAGTGTTCTCTTCGTGTCTGACTCAGAAGTGTAGGTGTCCGAAAATTCTTAGCGGCAGTAGGGGCTTTTGAATAATATCAGTCGGTAAGACTTGGGTGAAGTAATTTATGGTAGTGGGTGGGACTTGGAATTCTTGAGGGATGTATTTTTGTGAGTTCTTATCTGAGAGAGACCGTCTGTTAAGATTTTTTTGAAAATACTAGTGAATGGAAATTAATTAATTTCTGGCTAATTGTCGTGTCGCAATGATTAAGAATTTAAGAAAGGGAAAAGGCATTTTCGCTGTCCAAGAGCTAATAGACAGTCTGAAGGCAGGAAATAGGCCCATTTTTTTAGTAACAGTATATGTCTGAAGACAATTAGCTTTTTACAATATATACAATTGAGTAATTACACTATATACAAATCTTTCAACTGACAGTCATCCAACTTATACCGCCTTCTCAGGTTTAGGAATAAATTATCATATCCCTATCAGTTAAATGATTTAGAGTGAGTATTTAACGCCTGCTCTTTTAAGGCAATGGTTGATAAATTGAAAGGGAATTAGATTATTTTTGAGAATTTTGATAAGGATCAAAATTTCTCGTTGTAAATCTATTGTATCTGTGCATATAGTTTTAATTCGTTGTATTTGATTAATTATAGTATTGTTAATTACTTTTTTGGATATGTTGGAGTTCCAATTTATTAATTTGTTAGTATTGAAATTGAAGTATCTTGTTTTGTCAAAAAGTAAATTTTTTTGTAGTTAATGATTTGAAGATCTAGAAAGTCTATGCTATTTTGTGAATTATTAGTTTTATTAAGTTTAAGACAATTCGGATAAATGTCGGAGTTTTCAATTTTACCAAAATTATTAATTGTAATAAGGTCATCAATATATCTGTAGGGTGTGTTTGTAGTAATTTAACTCTTGTGGTTGTAGATTTTTTTGGAAGTTAAATTCTTTGATAAATAAAAAGATATTACAGATCGAGGTGCTGGAATGTAAGCCCATTGGTAATCCGCTGACTTGTTTAAAAAGTTAGTTTTGAAACTTGATGTAGTTATGAAAAAGTGTGCATTTTAGGTAGGTTTTCCATTTGTCAAGAGTCATGATATTGAGTATATTAGGGAAAAGTTTTGGTAGATCAAGTAGACTGGTATAGATTTCTTCTAGAGGAAGTGAGGTATATAAGTTTTCAAAATCATAGCAGTTAATGTTTTGGATGTTAATGGTATGAATGGTATATGAGATATATATGAGATAATATAATCTCTATTATTTAGTAAATAAATTATATATATAAAATAATAGTAGTAGGTAGAAACATTGCAGCGACCTTGCTAAAAAGTAACTTTTTAGCTGTATTACAAAAATATAAACTAAAAAGAAATTTGTCTGGAAAAACTGGAAAAAACTGTAAACGCGCAAAAATATTTCGTGGAGCTACAGCTCCTGGTAACTTTTTAGCAAGGTCGCTGCAATGTTTCTACCTACTACTATTATTTCATTTCTTTTTGCAGCATTATGGGCAAAAATTTTTAAGACCAAATAGGTCTTACGTCTAATTACTTGTTAGCTTTACATTTTCTTTTTCAATATATATATATATATATATATATATCAGGTTGTTATATATTTACTGTTTACCTTTTTTAACCCCAAAAGGGGCTATTAGTATCGAAATAGGACTTTTGCGTTGTTCAATATAAACAGCTGTACCACATTTCAAATTATTGTTATTATATGTTATCACCCAGTGTTATTTTTAGCGAAATTAAATAATGAAGAATCTATGTGTATGTAGTAATATATATGTTCCTCCCAATATGAAAAAGAGACAGTTCCTATACAGCCATCAAGATTTGAATAATGTAGTCCTCCATCCGAACATGTGCACCTGAAATCTTGAATTTTGAATTATTTTGAATTTGTTTTATTATTTATTTCGTATTTTGTAAAACTTTAATGAATTCTTGATTAACAAACTCAACGATCTGAAAGCGAGTAGTTGCAGCACTGTTCAAAATAAAACATTTTTATCTCCAGGTTGCGAAAAAAATATTGAAAAAGTTTCAGATTTTAACCGGTTACACAGAAAGTTTTGTTAAGATTTTTTCTACACTCTCTCTTAGCTCACAGTCTGCCAATTTGCTGTTTCACTCAGTCCCACTAAGTTATCTCTTTTCGTCTTTTTATCATTGTTATCACGCATTATTTTCTTCGCACTTACGTCACGTACAATTCAACAACAAAATTGCAAAAATTTTAAAAGGAGTATGTGCTTAGAATTCACCTTGAGGTGTTCAAATCCGGCATATATTTGTCTATATCTTCAGTCTTTTCTCAGTTAATCATACGAATGTACAGTTTTCTTAGTAAGATAGCTTGTAAAACTGTTTCTGTCTTTTTATTATTAGCGTTCTCTGTGTTAAATTTATTAATTAAATATCATGATCTTCAAACTTATGATACATAAAATTCAGTTGAATAGCAAATTCAGAAAATATTTAAAAACAGCATGTATTTAGAATTTCTGATATATAGCCTTGTACGTTGGAGATAACAAAATTTTAATTCCTACTGTGTTGCTGCTGTTCACTTTTAAATCGTTGAATTTGTAAAAAAAAATATTAAAGCTTTACAAAGTATGAAATATAATATCCGAAATTCAAAATTCGGGTTTTCGGGAGCAGATATTCGGGTGAAGGACAATTTTTGTTCAAAATTTGACGACCCTAGTCACAGTTTTTCACAGTGCGAGAAACATACCTACATTCATGCTGATTCTTCATTATTTAATTTATTTGAAAGTAATACAGGGCGATAATATTTTGTGGCTATAATTTAAAATGATTCAGGCATTTAAAGCGATACGCCGCCAAATCCCGTTTCGAGACTATTAGCCCATTCGGACAAACGCACTTTAGGGATATAAAAAGGGGTTAGCAGGAGTGAGTGCAAAAGCAGCACTGGTAAATCGCGAGCTCGGCGAGAGCGGGGGGGGGGGGAACTTAACAAACCCTTTGGATGAAGTTAAAATCTGAAAACTTTCATATTTTAAAAATTTTTTATTAATTATTTTTTAACATTTTTTTAGCACCAGTAGTCTCAAATCTCATTTTATTGTCAGTATCACTTTTCAAATGTTGCCACCCAATGTTTATCGCCATACATTACTTTTAAAGAAATAGTATATCAAATATTGAAAACATTTAGGGGTTTTACAGGTAAACAGTGATATTTTTTGCCTTAAACTTAATTTTAAAATACGTAATTGTGGTATTTGCCAGCAATGGAAGAAACTGGCGTAGCAATTTTGAAGGATTATAGTGATTTGCCGCAAATTCGCTAAAGGAAATAATGATGAGGTGCGTTGATAGATGGCCGGCGTGCGATGCCGATTTAATGCAATTCTCTGGTGTTTAAACGAAAACAGATCTACGTGTTCATGGGAAAATCAACGCAAAAAATTACAGACGGTTTTCGCAAAAAAACATAAGAGTTTTATTCTTTAATATATCGTATAATCCTTATTTAATAATTAATATTTGTGTTAATAATTGCTAAAGTGTATTATTTTAAGATAAATACCGATGGCTGAACTATCTTTTTTTTAAAAAAAGGCGCGAAAATCGCCAACTTGAATCTGAAACTTAACTTTTACCTCCTCAACTATAAAAAATCTCCATATTGTGAAAAGTTAATTGCGTAAATACATTAAAACATTTTTTCGTATTTTATAGTAACTATAATAAGCAGCTGACCACTCTAGAGGCCAGTTTATAGCGATGCAAAGCAAAATGAGTTTGGAGAATAATAGCTTTTCTGGACTAAAAAATGTATGGCAACATTTAACACTGTATCAGCAATTATAAAGTTATACTACTTTTAAAAAATTTCTGATTTTGCTGTTGAATTTTATGTCGTGTAAATGCAAAGAAAGTTATATTCAATAACATATTTAGAAAAACGAAAAATGTTATGTCATCAGGAATAAGTCCAAGAGTTGATAGATAAGCTGCGAGCTCAACGAGAGTATAAGAATTCTTAAGATACCTTCTGGTGTAGCGTTGAAATCTGAACACTTTCAGATTTTTTTAACTACATATTGATAATTTATTTTTGGAATTTGTACTTTACTTACTGAGTTTGATAAAAGAAATTAATTAAAATAGTTTTCTGTGGTGTATCAAATACACATGAGGATTAGTATTTTCAGATCATGTGTATGTAATCGAATTTTTTCATCAATGATTCATTTTCAGTACAAAACGGGCGGAATCCTAACTCATGTTTAACTCTAATTTCAGCCCCCTTCCTTTATAATGAAGGAGCATTGTACAATCAGCCCTCTGCTTATCGGACCTCAGCAGCGGATAAGCGGCAAAATTCTAGCTGTTCGATTCCGAATTACGCCGAACGTGTTGCTACACGGGTTTTTTTCTGATTCCCTCAAGCGTAAAGGGGATACGAGCGAATTTTACTTAAAAAAATCCTCCACGCAGGCATTGCTCTGCTTGAACATATAGTCCTCGTGTGATTCGCAGTAATCATACCAATTAACATATCAAACGAAGAAATACTGGAGATGACGTCTACGGTTAACTCAAAATCGAAAATAATCCGAAGACATTTGGAGTTAACTCCGAGTTTAAAAAAAAGGGGGGAATAAATGAAACATACACATGCTTATTAGCAATGTACCTGTATTTTCAAACAATTTCATCTGGAAAAAACTTCATTTGGCTTCATAAACTAAATCATTATTCAGAACAAAGAGCACACACTATAAATAACACGAATAAACATCATTTGAAATGAAGCAACTAAACTGCAAACTGATTCTGACATCATCTATTTTTGTTTAAGTTACGAATTTTTCTTTGACTTTTCGTATTTTCTGTGGATAGTTTTTGCTTTATTCTGATAATAATTTTACCATCGTTCTGCAATAAATAAATTTAACTTTTCCTTTCAGACACGGTCCGGTTAGTGAGGTTAGTGTTTCAGATCCGGTTAATGAGGAACTGACTGTAATTTCAATCTAATTTTAAGTTACTGTCCATTTTCTCGTTAAATTTTACGATAAGAGGAAGGTAACTCACCTTCAAGCAATTCGTCTCGTGAGCTTTAAATCTAGTCAGCTCTACCTGCTTTCCGCACATCTTACAAGTTTGATATTCTGTGCCTCTTTGCGTCCCTCCTTTATCCGATACTTCACGGGATGTCTCTCCTATAGTCATCTTTCGGTCAAATGCTCGGTTGTTATTATTGCGATCGGTCAGTCGAGGCGCAGGTTTATACACTCGGATGGGCAGGCGACCCGATCGCTGCTGTGTCAGTAGATCATCAGTCATTGGAAACGAATCTCTGGCAGGCTTCCTTTCTATTCTAGTAGGTCTCGAGCGCGGCAGTTCCCTCCGTGAACTGCGTATCTTGTTCCGCGGAGAGAGCTTACTGGACAGTCCGTTTGGGATGGTCAGCCCACAGCACGACGAAGAAACTTTGGTCCGGTTGCCGAGGCGTTTATTGATCGTTTCGTTCTCTGAAAGGATACTTGTTGATAATAGATCAATAATGGGTAAATCCATATTAGGACAAGTCATTAAAATATTAAATCAATTAAACTTTTCTGAAGCTGAGCTCTGGTATAAAGGGAAAACAATTTTAAAAAGAGCTTTCTTTCCAGGTAAATTAAGTTTAAAAAAAATGTTCCGCTTTCATTTTAATTTAATTCCTTAAAACAGACACCTCTAGGTTTAATTAACTGAAATGGAAAATAAAATTACGAAAGACGCCTGTTGAGTTAATTGTATTTTCCGTGCAACATTTCATGACGAACTGTTTCAATGAAACTACAAATGACTTAAGCATCGTAAAATATAGTATACATTTAGAAAATGTTTTCATATATTGTTACAAATGATGAATCTAAATTTTTCATGAATTCCTTAGTTCTGACAAAATACAATTACAACTTGATAAAGTTTTTGCTTCTTTTCTTGCTCACCGTGAGCAAGACAGCATCAATATTTTTACTATGTGTATTTGGCACCATTAATACAGATCTGCTTGTATAAGCTATTGTGAAAACACGTTCCTATTAAACATAATCTTAGAATGTTTGATATTTTTTCTCTTTAATAATCATGTAGGTTTTCCAAGAATATTCTTAACGAGAAAAATTACGCCCGTTTACCGTAGTCTAAGGACCTAAGCTCAACTTTCGTGGTCTTTTCGCTTTTCTTTCGTGGCCCTCTAAGTCTTTCTTTCTTTATCTTTATGAGAAAAATAAAGATTATAAGAAATTCTGAGATGAATTATTTAGTTCTTAAAAGTTATGACTTAGAACTGGTATTCTAAATCTAAGTGAATGATTAAACATTATTAATGTATGCTTTGCTTTAACATCCTAAAATTCCGATTTAAAAGATACCATATCATGCAAATTCTAATTACCGAGTTAAAATTAAGCGTTACTCAGCATTTTGCGTTATGCGTTACACAGAAAGCAATTCCTTGACTATTAAGGCGACAGTAAAATTTTAGAATTTTTGTCATAGCATCGTAGGCAAAGGAACAATATTATAACGAAGGATTCGCATGTTTTCTTTACCTATGCTATACAGCTATTTTTAAAGCAGAATGGTACAGCATGTATAAAAAAAGATTGGACAACAAAATACAAGTCGAATTGTTTATCCCAGACATTTTGTCGAAGTGAATTATGTAAGTGGGTTTTCAAACTGCAATTCGTTTGGTTACGTGAAATTTCTATAAAAGTATATGAAACATAAATATTTATAAATGTCTCGCAGAACAAAGAGTTCAAGCGAAAAACATTTTTCATATCCAGGCTTAATAAATTGAAAAATACTCCATCAGATATGTTTAGAAGATAGCGTATAGAAATATTATTAAAATGAGGCGTGGAAGTTACATTTACTAACGCAAATATCTAACAGGTAAATTTAGCATAAGTAAAAAATCATTCAGTAACATTTGTTGCAGTTTACTACTTGTAGAAATGCTGGAATTCCAAATTTTGGGCTTAATGAAATTCAATATTATATGTCTGTCCTTAAGTCGAAGCTTCATCTAAGTGAAAGAGACCACTACTCCTCCCATATCCTAGAAAATTCTTTAAAAATAAAGACTAAATTATTGATTAAAACATCTGTCGTATAAAAATTTTGCTTACTTTTATGAAAACATTATTATTGCCCAAACTATCATGTCCCAAAACTTATATTGATTAATTTATTTTTTAATAAGGAGCTGGGGTACTGAACGGGATTTGTTAAATATGACAAAGCTCACAAGGGCTATCTTAGGGCTGTCTGCCTAAGGAAAGGATGCATTCATGGAGGACTTTCTATAGAAAACTGGCTCATATTCACATCATACACAAGGTAAACAATGAAAACACTTATGCAATATTTTGACATAGAAAGTCGAACTGAGCTCAACGTTTTAGCTACTCGAACCGTGGATTTACTTTTTAGCTACTCGAACCGTGGATTGGTTGAACACAGGATATCAATTTCATAATGTTCAGAAGTCTTAACCACTTGAACAGTGAACCTACATTGGTTGATTGACTAACACAAAATATGCAGTATCCATCAATTTAACAGGTGGGATGTCTTCGTGGAAGTTTTTAAGAGAAACTGGGGCTTATTTTTGCTCCATGAGAAAAAAACACGAAAATTCACATGCAGCCCTATAGCCGCTTTTACTTTGGCCTGATTAGGCTATGGGAAAATATAAAAATATACAAGGGCTATTTGTATCTGCCTAAATGGAAGGATGCTTTTTTTATAGATATTTAAAGATAAACTGGCTCGTATTCACTTTACACATTAGGTAAACTACGAAACTATCATGTAGCCAGTCGTTCTCCTAGATTTGAGCACGAATTGCATTACTAGTGTACAGAGGTTTTTGACCACTCAGCAGCTGGATAGTATTGTACTTGAACTTTGTACGTTGGTGGGAGAATTTGGGTCTACGATTAAGAAATATTTAGTCTTTGAACTCTTGTAAAATTCCCTTCATGTGATTCTGAACTTAAATTTTTATTTTATTCTTTTTCTGGGAATCTTTGAAACTCAAGAAATAAATATTACTGAAACAAATGTGAAATGTAAATCGTATGTAAAATAATTTAATAATTTAATGTCATAAGTAAATTTAACATTCTTTACAATGTCACTATTACAATTTCAAGAATGTCCATCCTTAGATAACAAAACTGTGTAATTATTTGGATATTTACATATTATTTATTTAGTCCAAATGTTAGCCGTATTCTTTCTGATCAGGTTTAACGCCTCTAGAATGGTCAGAAATACGTAGGATTTGTCCAAGAGTTCTAGGAATTTAGATGTATTTTTTTTATTTCTTCAGTTTTTATCAATTAATAATCTCCATTTAACTGAATACACCGATCCTAACGAAAAACTAATCTTTTAAGCCGTCCTTAAGAAATTTTTCGGTGTCTTTTGTCTCTCCACAAAAGGAAAAAAAAAATTTTTTTTTCGTCGCATTTTCCATGGTTTTGCAAAAAAGGTGCTGCAAAAATGCGTCTGCATCAGTCAAACAACAAAATCGGACTAAACAATATTACAAAGGGAAGATTTTTAATTATATTAAGACTTCTCTCTGGCCCATATGATTACCATTACGTTTTAGGAACTGAACTAGTGTTTTAATTCCTAGAACTTCGATAACATCCCACGTTCATAATAATGGCTATGATAGATTTGTATCCCTAAAGAATTTTTCTTAAAAAATAAAAACACGAAATGTAATAGCAAATAATTTAAGTTAGACAACTGTAGAAGAAACGTTTTTAAAAATCATTGCTGATTTATTATACATTTATATTATATAAATTAATAGCAATTAAATAGTTTTCAAAATTTATAACAATCTAGTTGATTTAAATTCAATAAATATTTTGTTTTTTATGTACACATGATGCAATTGGGAGCATAACAAACTTATTATATTCTCATAGCATTTAATTCGTTGATAAAGAAGAAATCTTGCGCGTATAGCAATATATTTCACGTTCATTAATGAAAAACATTTATATCTGTGCTTATGAAATCTATGTTTGGACTTATTTTAGACACCTTTTTTAAAATCAGCTGAAGTGAAGAAATGAAATAATGAAGCTTGATTTTTAAGAATTAAATTGTGAACAGATTCACCGTCAGCTGTTTTTAAGTGAACGGTCTTCTTCTGGATTATCAAATGAACGAAAATCAACTATACGAACGCAGAACTTTAGACATCTATTCATAGAAATTTTTATATGATCGTATTATCAAAATATTATTAAAATAAAACATACCTTCTGCGTTATTTCTTGCTCGTAAAAGAAGCTGATTATTTAACTTTGATTTGGGTTGCTCTTGTATTGTTGCAGGTTGTTTTTTTTCTTTCTTAAGAGGAGATATCACAGGATGTACGATGTTGGGTGTTGGATTCAAGAGAGTTCTAGTTCCTGGTCGTAGTTCAGGTGGTCTGAAAAGAAAGAGTAACAAACTTGAAAAATATTTCTCAAGATTTTGATTTTAATATAAACTATGTTATTAATTGAAAGCTCGATATAAAGCTATATTTGACTAAAATTTCAAATTTGGGTCTAAGCCCTGTGTTTTGGGGATCCGTGAATAACGCGTTTTTTCCCCACATCAATTTATGATTTATTTTCCAATTTATGATTTTATGTAAATTAAATTATCCTTTTCCATAAATCTCATATCCTGAATCAGTGGATTAAGTAACATTTTTCTTTTACATTGCAAAAAATACAGAGTAAAAATTTAAACATCATTCTCCTATAATTTCTGAAAATATTATTCCTTTCATAACCAATATTTTGTATATTTTCAAGCTGTAATTTATGTTCAAGATAGTAGTTATGCTTTTCGTAAAAGTCTGCTACTGTGGAGGAGGTTAACTGCTTTATGGTGTTTATATTATTTTGAAATCATTTCTGTATCAAAAGCACGGTTTAAACCTGATAGTACACAATCAAATTATCCATTTACAAAAGACATCTTCCTACTGTCAGAAAGAATCTTATAAAATTATGTTTTCTTCTCCGACCATTTAATCCTAATCAAAAGTTTTGGAAATAATGAATTATTCCGGCTATTTATAGGAATGACTAATCTCGAGGATCACTCTGAAATAAAGTACGTTTATTAATTTAAAGTAATTGGCTGTGAAGTGGAAAAAATAATTTTGTAAGCAAGATAAAACTACCCTCACTTCCTGTGCTCCTTTAAGTTTTGTTCATTTTTATTTTATTTTTTTAACCTCAACTGACCATGATAACCTTCAGATGGCTCCGAGTTGAAGGAATAGTTTTTATTTTCGGAGTTTTCCCAGAAACAAAAACTTAAAATTATCAACTATAAGATTTCACTGCGAATCATCCAGCTTCTAATTTTTTAAGCTAACCACCACATCACAGGTGCCAATATGGAAAGAATACTTTAATTCCTTATGTTTTCCAACCCTCCTATTTATTGGGCTACTGAGAATGGCTCAGCCAAATCTAAATTGCGACATATCACCACCCACTACATTTTATATCAAGCACCACTATAGAATCATCACAACTTACTTTGGAATAAGAACATGCAAAATCTCTTTCCTTAACTAGCAGTTGAACTACCGGTTCTCCATATTGTAACTGAATATACGAACTACTACCCTACCAGCCAAACACAGTAACTTCTCATGTACTTCGTAAGTATTCTAAATGGTACTCTAAGTTTAAAAAGAATTAAGTAATCGCTTCAAAGATATTTCGCGATGATACTAAATCAGTGAAGAGTAGTATAAAATCAACAAATAGCTTTTCTATTACAGTACTATTTCTATTTAATATTCAACTGCACGTAATATGTGTATGTATTTGGTGCAATATTACTTCAGATGTACCTCATAACTAAATATTATTCCTGTTATGAGGGCAAATAAAGTAGCAAATCAGATGCCGAATCGATAAAGCACGACTTATTTAAATTTATTATATATTAAGCTGCAAATATACTATTTTACAGTGCTTGGAAAATATTTACGTAGTTTTGATCATACTTCAGTGTGACAAATGATATAATTTTATATTACTCGAATCATATTCGTACCAGGTATTGTGAGAAATAAAACAGTTTTCCTTCTTGCCTGTTTTCTTAGATGCAACGGAACTTCAGTAATGAGAGAGTAATATTTTAATAACGTATTATACGTGTTACTTTATAGAGACATCAGGTATTTTTTGCAAGCAGGCAAGATGAAAAGTTAGTAACTCCCTCGCTGGGAATCGAACCGCGGACCTCTAAATTACGGGCTGAGCGTACAGACCACTACACCACGAAGGCTTGCCAAGAAGGCGAGAGAAATACCTTATAACTTGAGATATATATATTTTATAAACCATTCTGAATATGATGATTCTCCAACAAATGTTTATCTTCTATTGGCTTCATTTGTTACTGCTATGAAAAGGAGCTTGGTTATTAAGATATGTCAGATTATGATAAAACTAGAAAGCCCGGCGGTCATACGAAATGACCGCTGTTCTCGATATTATAAATTGTAATTGAAATGATTTGGGCAAAGGTGTCTGCTAATTGAAACTGAATTACCCAGGGCAGGCGGCGAGGACGCCCCTTTGCTTACTGCCCCACGGGGTTTCCCCCTTCTACTTACTTAATTGCTTAAAGTAGAGTGCAATGAAGGAAACCACTGGCGGTACATTTCTTAAGAGCCACCGCTAGCTCAATAAATAAAGGTGATTTAAATAATAAAATGTTAATTCACATGTCAAAGATCTCTCTGTACACAACATTTCTTGTGACGATCTTTCCATCATTTTTAAGCTCGCCTTCCTGAGGGCCATCTATTATTTTTAATTTTACGTCCGTTCTTTCACGAACTCTTAAACAGACAAAATAAAGTTGACAGTGTCCAAATGCAGGCTCAGGTAAAAAAATTCCAACACGCTTAAGCGTTTGGCCCTGAAACTGCCGGTTGCACATTTCCGAATTCTATTATAATATAGATGTTAAATTTTTATATTAAATGTTATATATAGATGTTAAATTTATATATTAAATGTTAAATGCACGTGCTCTTGTATATTTATTTTTTCCGGTTTAGCTTTTTCGTAATATTCGTCACGCGCTGCACTGCACGGGGAATAAAACAGTTCATAGTTACGCAAGCAACCAATAAATTATTGGCGACAAACAGATGTTAATTTTATTTATTAAATGTTAAATGCACGTTCTCTTGTATTTTTAATTTTTCCGGCTTAACTTTCTCAGAATATTCGTCACGCGCTCAACTGCACGGGGAATAAAACAATTTACAGTTACGCAAGCAACCACACTTAAGCCGCTTTTATATATAAAGAAGAGTATCAAGATATATTTCTGCATATTTTGTCATCTTTCCTCTGATAGTTTTCTCTCTTAATATTTTTCTTATTTGTTTCTTAATAAAGTATTGAGGGTGCTTACACAATTTTAGAACGATTTCGAGTCCGTTTAATTAATGTTTAAATGTAAAGAGTTATTTATTATTTTTAAATGGTCATTCTGATAGCACTTCTCCTGGACTTTTAAGTTTGTATCGTGATTTCGACGGTAGTAAAGAAATTTTCCGGGACATTGATTTCCATTCCTCTTCCACTACTTTCCAGACTCTTTCAATCGTGATGGGCTTGCGCTGAGAAAGAGTTCTTTTCAAGATACCAAATCTGCAATAGTCCATAGGTGAAACCTCAGAAGATTTCCCAGGAAAAGGTTGAAAAGATATATATGCAATACCTGTATCAGTCTTCATTTTTGTTCAAGGAGTACAGTGGCACTTTTTGAAGATTTCTACGACTTGTTTCTTTGTCTTGATTCACAATTTGAAAGCAGTGGGATAAAGAAATGGGACTTCCTCTTTGAATAACGGATATAAAACTTTCTCTTGATAGTACATTTAGTTGACTTTAATATTTTTCTTCCATGCGTCTTATTTGTAATTCCCCGTTGTAAGAGGATCCTGCGACCCTTTCCAAAACTTTCTTTGAATTAACAAAGCCAGGTTTGTACATTTTTTCCCTTCGTTTTCGATAATAGACCCTCTTTTTTATTGTTGTTGCAGTTAATTAGGCATTTAAGCTTCACCAAGGGCCACAATATGCATTTCCACTTTGCCTTAAATAATTTTCATACAGGGTTTACAAATTGTTTTGCCTCGACAAAAGCTGGTGAGCATTATGCTTTTTAGCAATTTAAGCATTTGCTCTTGGTTAATTAATTTATGTTTTTAATACACATATGTATGTGATGTATCAGCTTTTGTCAGGAATAAATAGATTGTTGAAGAATCATCAATGTAGTCGTAGCTTAAATAATCAGACGATAAGTTTAAAAAAAAAAATCCATTATTTATTATTCAGAAGAAAATAGCAGTTACAAAAATCAGATATCCGGAGTAAATAAAATTACTAATAACTTTCTGTATGAAGTTTACTGCATCGTGACATTTTAGAAAAAGCCCCGATATTCCTTTTGCGAGTTTTTTTATAGCCTCTGGAAAGGCGGAGCTTCCGAGAAATGACGTCAGCCTCGTCAGCCAATCCAGTTCGCTTGAAAATCTCCAGAACATTCTAAAACTGTACGTGTAGAAAAGGCAGGAAAAACAACTTGACTACGGGGCTGTGAATTTAATTCCACGTACTTTCAAATAAGAGAACGTCGCAATTAAAAATGAAAAGAACATACAGTTAGAATTTTAAGTGTATTCTTGACTATGGAATTTTATTATTACATGTATTTAAAGACTTAGTAATTGATTTCTACGGCGGCGAATTTTCTCTTGTTACCAAAGGTTTAACTTTAGTAACATTTGAAACAGTACGTACCTTTTTCGGGTATTCGTTTGCAGCCTTCGTAGAATGTAAAAGTAATGACTGACAGTTTTTCCCTTTCCATTTAATAATATTGCTTATTTTGCTCTTAGAAATTTTAACACTATGCTTTTCTCAACATTTTCGAATTATGAAATAGGAATATTTCTCATGGGAAAGCGCAAAAACATATCCTTCAATCAACAGCTTGCTTACATGCGATATTTTGAGGTTGATTAATTTACTCTAAAATTACCAGTGCTTAATTAATCGAAGGCAGTTAAAGATCATTGTTGACATCATGGCTTAAAAACTATACGAATGGAAATACATGAAGGACTATGTTGAAAACCAAATATGAGAAAGATTAAATTAAATATCAATTTAAACTGAATTTTGAGTGAAATTATAGTACTATTCTTTTTGGCAAATGAAGCTTCAATTCAAAATCAAATTATTTACTTTAATTTCCTTTAAATACAATCTGCAATATTTAACTGCATTTCTTGTCATCTATTTTTAAAACTGCATAATTTGTTAACAGAATGAAATTCTTTTCTAGCTTTTTAAATGGTAAGCAAAGTGGGAAATAAGTTTTTTAAACTGCAATTCAGGCATTTGAGAGATATTTCAGTTGATTTTTGTCATATTAAAATGTGATAGAAATTTAGAGTATGTAATGGAAATTGTTTTGCTTGAAAGTGGTTCGGATGTTTTCATTTCGAATATAAATGGTGTTTAAAACTCTTAGGATTCGGTAAAAAATAGAAAGAAATGAAGAGCATAAAATTTCCAAATGCTTTCGAAATCCAAGAACATTAAAACTGCTATTTTGCAGCTGAGACAGCTTTTGCAGCTGAACCACCACCCTCAGCTGCAAAAGCACAAATGATGGTTCGGTAAAACCATCGAAACTAGTCCTGTGAAAATTTAAAAATATAACGCTGATTTTTGTTTTTTGACTTCTGAATTAGTATTTATTCGGCGTGTTATTTCTGCCTGAATTCTTTAAACGCTTAAAATATTTTTCTCGTGTCTTACATTACAAGCGACAAAAACCTACTACTGAGCGACCAAGTTTAGAAACGCAGTTTGTTTAAAGATAATAAAAAGTACCTTGGAAATCCATGAATAATTCAGCAACTTATTCAGAAACCAGATCATTATGAAATATTTTAAAGAGAATTCGATATCGATCTCTTCACATCTGCTGTTTGTCAATGACAGTTTACTATTTATGTCCATTATATTCGTAACTTAATTGATGGTTACTAACTGTACGCTGTCTCAGCATTTACAATTATTTCTTCAATAAATGGAAATTTTATCTATCTATCCATACTATATATATTCGAATTATGAAACATATATACTTTACATTTCCATTGCATACCACATACAAAGTACAACAATGACCTCATTTCTTAATAAATTCACATAAATAAAGTAAGTTTCCCAGAAGGTTTTTAAGCAGTAGTAATGGTGCAGATCAGTTTTTGTATTCTTATATGTATATTTTGTATTTTGTATTCTTATATATATACCGTTCGAAAGGATAGAAAACCTCATTGGCATACAAAAATTGCTCGTTCATTTTGTAATAAAAAATACGGTCTGTCGAACAAATACTGATTTATAAAACTTAGAAAGCAATACATTTTTTTTTCTCTTATCTTCAAATAATCAATTCTTCTTTTTAATCCTTCTCTTCTATTCTTCATATCTGTGAACAAAGGTGATCTTTTTTTAGGAATGAAAGCATATAAAAATATTGACCTTCAGTACTATTGGATTATTTGTATTACGACAAGACAGCAAGGGCTATCTGCCTAAAACTAAGGAGATCTTTCTGGTGAAATTCTTGAGAAAAATTTGCCCGTACTTACGTTATTGTATGCATAAAACCCGAAAACTTCCATTGAGTGAACCGTTGACTGGATTTGAGCCCGGATCGAAGGACCTATCCCTTTTTAGCTGCATAATATCTTAAAGATACCATGAAGGTATTATGAATAATGTCCAACACTTAACTTCTTAAGTTAAAAATACCAAAGCCCTATGATAAGCCATCCGGAAAGGTAAACAAAAATTAATACATAAAATAATAAATAATCAGCAATTAAAATAAAATAAATTATTAACAGATAAACAAAAATTGATAAATCTAATTAAAAGTAAAATTAAATACAGGATCCATCTTATTTGAAGTTCCTGCTGGAATTACAATTTCCAGTGAAAGTTTTCGAAATATCGAAGACAAATTCCGAAGACACACGCAGAATTTAAGCGTTGAATGTGAAGTGTATTTTCTGCTTAACATGCAGTACTATTTCAAAGAATGGTACAAACATAAATCATTCTTTTTACAGCACAGCAATAAAAAAAGTAAAATGGTTAAAACATCAGAATGAGAATAGGGAATGCTAGAGACAATATGGAGTAAAAAAAGAAATTTATCACGTGAAAACCTGGGTCCGAAAACAAAGACAGACGAATCCAACATTCAATTGATCACGATTTCCTGCCGCTGTAATTACAGCTCTCAAGCCTAATGTGTGACGGAGGAAGGAAACTGCCCCTGAATCCGAGAGGTGTTGACTCATTTATTTTAGTAGTTCACTACGTTAGATCCGCGCTGCCATTTGGTGTGTATTTTTGAGCATAAACGAAAGTTTCCTTCCCTACCCTCTTCGCCGCGAAACCTAGAATCACTAATACCAGATTATAAGATAGGGTGGTATAAATACCAGTTCCTTCGGAAGCAGGAAATTTGCCGTTCAGAAACGAGTTGTCGTAAATACTCGTATTTTGCACTCCCTGAAGAGTAAGGTTTCGACATAATGATTAGAGCTTTCCTTGCCCTTAGTTTCTCACTTTGTAATCAAAGGTTTGGTTTCCATCAGGAGATAAACCTACTTCAATGTTTATACAGACTTTCAAGTCTTAGTTATTGCTAAAATAAAATGCTACGAGATTAAACGAATTTTCTGTTGAAACTCTGGTTCAGTTTCACAGAAAAACAAAGAAGAAGAAAAAAAAGTACCTAAGCTCATCTTGTAAAGAGTTCTGATGTTGTTACATCCAAAATTATGACTTATCTTCAAAACTTAGAAGTGCCGGAACCGATCCCCGGAACAACTTAAGCACTGTATTATTTGCTCTCACAGCCAACATTCTGAAATTGGCACAAACAGTAAATTTTTAGACTGAAATCTTTTTCAGCACACATTAACTATTACTACTACTACTATGGGTTAGACTCCCATTGTAACTATACGTTCATTTGTGTTTATCTAAGTGTATTTACAGTATTTGTGTGTATTTACAGAGTTGCACAATTTGGTAGTCAGGACAATCAAATCTCATTCTTGAAGCGATACCATAGGATTTATAGGATTCTTGCTATCATTTTATCATTTCTGATTATGCCGTGCATTTTGAAAACTATATAATGTGTACCGTATAGAATTTAGCTTCATTAAATGCTCAATACTGTCCTAGCAATAATTTTAACAACAGCTGTGATTCTTATGAAAACATATTCTTTCAGAAGCATTTACGTTTTCATATAAATGTACCTTTTTATAAGGAAATCAGATGAGGTCACTAAGGTTTACCTGTCGTCCTCTTCAGATTCATATTGATTTTGCCACGATGTAAATTCTTGTTGCCCCTCCTCCGTTGTTGGCCACTCTGTATAGTCGACGGGAGTTGTTTCTCTTTCATACAGAGGTTTCTTTTCGTTTTCAGCTCGCCAGCGAGCCAGACATCGAGGTGTGTGAAATTTCAGAGAATGCAGAGTGTAGAGTCGTTCACAAACGTAACAAGGAAAGAAACTGCGGGGATATTTTACATTCGACATTCTTCATCTTGAATTTGGAAGTTTTCCTGTCAAAAGAGAATTATTTCTACATGTAAAAGCACAGTAATCTTTCATATGTACTCCTGTCTATCATTTATACTTTAATTTTCAATGATCTTGTAACAATTTGATTTCCATTTCCATTATGTGTCTGGATTTGGAAGGTAATTATTTCTTTGTTATGTGTCTCAGATTAATTTTTCACTTTACAATTTTCGAGTATGACTTCTTCAATAAATATGACATGTTAAAGTCAATTCAGTAGTGTTGATATGTTTTCGTTACTCCCCCGTTTTCCTCTTCCTTCTTTAATTATCAATATTCCAGTGTAAGAATAGAGTTCTTTTCGCCTATGATTCATCTCTACATCTATCTCTCTCATTTCAACAGATTTACATCTGCTCTTAGCATCTAGTGAAGTGTTACAAACAAGTCAGGTTACAAAATCTTTTAAAACTCTTTTAAATATGTTATTCTTTTAATGTTAAGGGCACTTTTAAGATGTCTCCAAATACAGTATTAGAACGGATTCAAGTCTTAATTCCAATGATCCAGAAGGCCACTTGACAATAATAAAATAAGTCAGCCAATAGGTCCTGTTGTCAATAGAATGGGTTTCAGATGAACTCTTAACACTTATTCGAATGCAATGAATCATCATGCATAAATAACGTGTAGTCTGTAATTCGATGTTTCTAGAGTTTACTTATCGTTCAGAATTTTAATAATGACTGATAGTTTAAAATAATTAAGCATGTGATAAGATTTCTTAAAAACTGCATTTCAAAGCAGAAAGAACCAAGAATAAACGTGGCAATAAGTCCACATCAAAAGGTAACTTTGAATATTAGGGGGATTTCATTAACACTGCTTGCTTTCCATGTTGCTTAAATGCTGCAACTATATGCATTTAAGACACCTTGAGAAGAAAATGAGCCATATATGAATATAGCACGATTGCTTGCAAGTCAAACATTCTAGCAAAAGACTATCTCTCACCAAAATGCCTCATTATTTTGCAGTTGCTTTTCACGCCTAACTCCATTGAAGTTGCAATGAATCATTTTTTGAGTAGTACTGAATTGATACCCATTACTAACTACACAATGAACAGTATGCATTTGGTATGGAATCCTCTTTAACCATTAATGCAACAGATTCTGCAGCTTCTAAAAGGATGCTTTATCTCCTGCTTTACCAAGCAAGAGACAAAGCTTTTGCTTTACCAGTAATATAGCTTCGTCGTTAAACGCTTTCATCACAAGCTTAAGACAATTATGATTGATCCATTCTACCGTATCGCAGGTAGACAATGTAATGTAGCTACAGTGTTAACTACCTATTACTGAAGCAATGAATTAGCAGTTAAAGCCCCATTTTGAGTAAGAAAGCAGCCACAGATTCATGGCACTACTTAGAAGGTTCAAAGATAAACAAAGCTCTGTAACAGTAGGAATCAATACGTTCAGGTTCAAACAATAATGAATTTCACTTTGGGTATGCCAGAGATCTTAAAGTATCTTTTCAGCTGGAATTTTTCTTTTCACCGCGCATAACTTCACATAATTTCCATACCACTGACCAAAACGATTCGCAGATTGTGAATGGAACTGAAAAAGAGAACGGCCGAACTAAACTTTGTGCAATGCTTTTTTCAGCTGATAATGATAATAAAAATAGTTCGTTTTATTTCATAATAAGATTGTTTAATTACATTACAAGCTTGAAGACTTTATGACTAATGTTGTTCTTACTTTTTAGATGGGTTTAAAATTTTGAAAACCCTGTATTTTAATTTTGATAATCGTGTATTTCGCCTTGCCAATATTTCTATGTTAATCACCAAAACTGAAATTGCTACTAAAGTTTTAGTTCTGATCTCAATAGAAGATAAACCCAAGCACTTTTATTCTGAATATAAACCTACATTTCTTGTTTGATGGTAATAAACAAAAGTTATGTAATATGTTTATTATGTATTATGTGTGTATTTCAGCATTTCCTACATTAAAGGTTTTATCGAATTGAATGCAGTCCAAGTAGCTGATTAATTAACTAAAATTCATTATAATAGCATAAACTTGTAGAAAACACAAGCAGCGAGAAAACTATTTAAAAAATTTTTGTGCTTCTTTTTCATCTTGAAAATTTTAATCCTGCGTAGCGTCTCTAGTCAAATTATATACTGCTAATGTACTAATAATATATTTGAGCATTTAGCTGCAAGAATATATGTTGCAAATAGTGATATTTATAATTACCGACTCAATATCTTAGTGTTATTTAATATACTAATACACTCTTGAACATGATAAATAAAATCATACACACAAAATAAAACTCACTAGTATTCAAAATCCCTTTCAAAACTACTCGCCCATCAGATTTTTAGTGATCTTTAAACTGTTTTCTCTAAAAACATTGTCTAAAATTTAGACTTCATCTTTTGATTCTACTCTAATATCTCAAATCACTTACCGGATCTGAAATCCATGATCCACTTGAAGAATTCGTTACCGTCTAATTCTAAACAAACTCTGTTCAGGTCAAAATAATTCAAAAGGATGTAAATTTCTGTGTAACAGAAGTTTGTCTCTAAAAGCAGGTCCATTTAAAACTGATCATTGATGACACGCTCGCATGAACGAGCGTTGCATGCGGTTAATTCGCTTGTCTCGTGGAGGGCAAAAATACAGCCAAAAAAAAAAAAAAAATTATCCTTACTGAATCCCGTATGCGATGTTGTTGCTATGCATCACTCGTTGGCACAACAAAACTACTTGACCCACAGATATATATATATATCATTGGAGAGAAGTAAACAAACTATAATTTTCAGAAGCGGAAATCAAAACACTTAATCTTATTGCAAGGGCATCGATTGGGTTTCTTCATATGCTATTCAGTTAGATATAGCTTCTGGAAACAGTTTTGGATCATTACTTGAAAAGACGCAAAAGTTATCTATTAACTGCGTAAATATTTTTTTTATTATTTTACTAATAACAGATAGTTTCATTTACATGATCGTACCTCGAACATACTTGCTACGAAAAGATTAAATTTAAATGGTAACACTAAAAACAATTACTTTAAACATAATCGAAAACAACGTGTTACGTTTTATGAAATTTGAAACCGAAGTCGTGTTTTGATAAAGGTTATATACTCTATTCATAGTGGCACGAAAAAGAGGACCAACTTGTTTGCAGTTCAATATAGCATTTTCATAAATTAAATTTTCGGTCTCTATACCAGTTTTTCAAAATATGTTTTCCAGTCTTTGGTTATTCTATTAATGTCTGGGCTTTGAGAAATAGTTCCGAGTTATTTCCTCGAATTTCATTAGAGGTATAGTTCTCATTCAATTAATTCAGTTCTCACTTCGCGGCAAAGCAAAAATACATAAACCCTCAAAATACTTTTATCAAAAATTGAAAAATATAGAAAAATATAAAACACCACATACAATTTAAAAAAAAAATTTACAATTAAAATTTACACAAAAACAAGCAATTCGGGCAGGGCGCAAGAAGGCAGATTTATCGGTGCACAAAATTGAAAGTTTACTTTTGGTCCCACTCGGCGAAAAGACAATAAAGGTGCAAAACCTGACTTAATTTACTATTCTGCTATGTTTAAAATGTAAAATTTTTGTAATTTTGCTATTGAACTGTACTCGGCGTGAAACGCATAGAAAATGATGATTTTTAATAAAGCTAAAAAAACGAAAAGAAAAGGGGAAGTAGGAGTGAGTGCAATAGCAGACTTGTACACAATGTGAGCTCAGAAAGAGAGTATAGAAAAAAAAAAAAAAACTTTTAGGCGATCGTTAAAATCTGAAACTTTTTTTTTTTTTTTTTTTTTTTTTTTTTTTTTTTTTTAAGTAGAGCAGTGTATTTTGTCATTGGACCAGAAGGACGAGGATAATCCCTAATATTTTAGGTAATAAAGCCTTCATACTGTGATAAGGTGGCATAAAGGTTCTTTGTCTAGGATGAGTGATTTCAGAGTGCAATAATTTTCATTAGTGGTGAAATCCTGTGCCTTTGTTAATGATTATGGTTGCAGCCTCTAAGGTCGCTCCAGTGGACAAAGAGTCTTTTTATCAGGGTCAGGAGATGGACACTTTGTTATGTATGAGTGAAAGAATCTTCCCCGCTGGGAGTTCAGCGCAATTAAACACAAGGAGATATATAAGGTGGTTTCCTGAGAAGAGTGGACAATCTTCCCTGTTTAGAGCTATGGGCATGTTGGCCTGCTAAGAATGATCATTCCTCGTGTATAATGCGTTAGAGCACTTTTCCTGTAACAAAATTCTGAAATTACGGAACTAAATATATTTAAGTCCCATACTGTCAAGATATGCAACTGTTAAGGTTTTCATCTTATTAAAATGCATGTTATTGTTAAAACTTGAGTTCGAAGTTCATTTCAACCCTGTGTCACAACCCAAGGTTTGCGTAGCGGCTTCGGCCACTATATCACAATACAAATTTTTATCTGACTTTCAAAAGCATTAAAAGGAACATCATTTTACTTTTATAGAAAACGTGCGCCTCTCCAATGTAACCGGATTTTCGGCGCGCATCAGATGCTGTCAGGTACCGTTGCATCTACGCGAGAAGGACAATCAAGCTAGAGATTGCCATTCGCTCACAAACTGATTAAAAGAAGCGTTTCACTTCACTGAACAAAGGAAAGTTGATTCGCCAAAAAATAGCAGTAGTTCTTTTAGAGTTCCACGAAGAGCTCAACTTCCCATGTTAAAAATTAGTTTAATTTTTACCGCTTTCCAACTTTTTCAATGTTTTTTATTGTATAATTTTATAATTAGTTCGATGTAGAAAGTTTTAGGGAATTTCAAAACTACAGTTGAAATAAATAAGTCTGTGGAGTTAGAGGTTCGATTATGTTAATTCTTGTGATACCATTGCTCATTCATTATCCATCCCTCTACCGTTCTTGATTTGCTTTCCGTTCCTAAGCGTCGAAGGTTAAAAAAGAACCTATTCAGTTTAGCGAGTGAACAATTCTGATCAGTATGCAGCTAACTACGAGAAATATGACACCTGAACGCATCTGTGGGAGCACCGTTTTCCTGTCTTCGTGTTCCTTGCCTTATTACGGATTTCCCATCCATCTGTCTTCAGCTACTTCAAAATTGTTGATATTCGGGGCTTTTTCTCTTATGTTTTCTGAAAGATCTCATTTTTCTTGAATTCGTATTTTATGTGGATTGGTAAAGAACGATTTAGTAAACTCGATAATGTGATTTAAGCTGAGGTAGAGATACAGAAAGAGAGCACTGAACCTCAGTAGCTTCTTGTGACTGATGGTTTAAAGCTTGATGTGTGTTGCCACTGTGAGTGGTCAGGGTAATTTTAATTCATCTTAATTATCTGGGAGAAATAGAATTTTAAATTTGAATTAAGAGAAAATGAATGGTGTATTAAGCGGCTTTGAAATTAATGTCTGTAAAAATGTGTAACTCTGTTAATTATAGCTTCTTATATTTGTAGAGATATTAGGATTTTTTGGAAGCGAGAGACTTGAAAAATGAGCAACACTTTCGCCGGAAATCGAACCACGGACCTCTGAAATACACGCCCAGCGTGCAGATCACTACACTACGAAGGCAGGCTAAAAAGGCGGGAGAAATACCTTAAACATTAATTGATTGTGATTTGTAACGTTTAAGCTAAGATTGGAATGCCGTAGAAACAAAAGTTTATGTGAGATTTTGCAGTCTGTTATAATACCTGTGAAATATAATTAAGAAAAGAAAATCAAATGTCTAATTAAGTAACAATTGAAATTTTCGCTTAACTTAATCAAAATAATTAAAAATTAAATTAATTATTAAAATTAAAATAGTGTGATTAAAATAATTAAAAATTAATTAGGGATTAAAATTAAGTGAAAATGATGCTTTAAATGTATATGATTTGGTATGTTATTTTACCACCGGATGCAAGGGTAGTCTGGTCAGCTATTTTAAATTTAACGATATATGTAGAAATATTCAATAAATAGTGTTTATTGATTAAATATTATTGTATGTTTCTATCTGAGTTAATTTTATTGTGGTGGTACTGTAGGTCACTCCCATTCGTTTGAGTTTTATGGCTTTAAAAAAAAACAAAAAAAAACATGGAGATTGACTTGCTTAGGATATTGTTAACTCTTATTAAGAATTAAAAACACAAAGCTTGGATTTTGTACTAACTACTTTTTATATTTATTTTTATTAATATAATGGATGATTTTTGATTGAATTATTTGCTTATTTGAAGGTGACAAGAAATTATTTAAAACTGATCGATTTTTTTTTTTTTTTTTTTTTTAAAGTCCAAAGGGACTTTGTCTCTGAAGGACTATTGTTTTCGTTTTGCAATTTTGCGTTGGTTCACTATAAATGACCACTATAAATGGTTTCACTTTTCAAACTGTTGCCACCAAATGTTACAGTCCTGCATTATATTTGAAGAAATTAAATAATGAAAAAACTGCATAAATGTATGTATATTTCTCGCATCGTGATAAAACAACGGTACATAGAGCCATCAAATTTTGAATGACGTAATTCTACTGCGAATATGGCATCTGGAAGCCCAAATTTGAAATTTGGAATTTGTTTTACTATCGATTTCATATTTGTAAAACTTTAACGAATTTTTCATTAACAAACTCAAAGATTTCAAAACGAGCAATGCCAAAGTTGTATAGAAAGAAAATTTTTATCTCCAGCGCGCGAGACTCTGTATCGGAAATTCTAAAGATATGCTCAATTTAAAACTGTTTGCGGTGTTGCTCTTGAACTGACTTGTATGGTTCAAGTGCGAAGAACGTTATATTTAATAAATATAGGTAATACACAAAACGTTAACAAAACGCTCCTTTGGACGTAAATTAAAATCTGAAACCCTTCAAATTTTCTTTTCTTTTCTAATATCCTTTTTTTTTTTTTTTTTTTTTTTTTTTTTTTTTTTTTTTAGTCCAAAGGGACATTTTCTATGCAGTGTTTATGAAGATGATATGAAAAATCGCTTGTTTGGATAGCCACCAAAAGAAACTGTTGAAATGGAATGCTGTGCCGAAAGTAAATTATGATGACAATAATAAATCGAAATTATGATGACAATAATAAATCAAATTTTAATGATTTTGAAATAAAACTCACAAATGAAAATGTAGATCATCCTGAATGTTTAAGGATAAACAAGAATGCATTGATAATTTGAAGAACAAAATAATATCCTTAGAAAATTGTATTAAAGTATTGAAAAACAGAGAAAAGAAAAATTTTAGAATGTTTGTTCAGCGACAAAGAAGGTGGACGACATCTAAACAGAAATTGGTATAAGAAATTAAAATCTCAAAGAGCGAAATTTGGGGGGGGGAGGTCAAATCGGAGAATTTGGAAAAATGTCTAAAGCCTATTTTTATAAAGACGCAGATTAATGCATTACTGAAAAAGAAGAAAAAAATCAGGTGGACTAATAAAAATATTTCACGTTGCATCGTCATAAGAGTTCTGTCATCTTAAAGCTATGATTTTTGGAAAGAAAAAAATTAAGAAAAAATTTGGAATATCTTTACATAGTATTATCAAATTAAAGAAATGGTGTTTATTTTATTTTTTAGTGTTTTC